TTGGCAGGACGCTTTTCCGCAAAAGCACTTTTTGCAGAAAAGTGTCCATGCCAATCTAGACGCGCTTTTCCACAAAAAAGCCCCGATGGCCATTTTCACGATCAGGGCTTTTTTGTGGAAAACAAATCTGAGCTGTCTACACTGTCCCTTTTGCGCAAAAGCTTTGTGCAAAAGGGACTTTTGCCTGAACGGGAGCAGAATAGTATTTCCACAAGAAGCACTGATTTCAGACAGTAGGAAGTCAGTGCTTTTGCAGAAATTCAAGCGGCCAGTGTAGACAGCTGGCAAGTTTTTCCGGAAAAGCGGCTGATTTTCCGGAATAACTGGCCAGTCTAGACACAGCCCATGAGTTTTCAAAGATAATGGCCAATAGCTTTGCAATCACATCAGCCAACTCCCTCAGCACCCTTGAGTACATAAATCCATGGCGCCAGATCTATTGTATGTCCAATTTTTCTAAATAGTTCTTAACCTCTTCTTTCTCTGCCGAGGCTTCTCTCCTCCTTTCCATACTGTGTTGCCTAGTGCAGTAGTCTGGGAGCTGCCCGTGTCTGCAAAAACAGAGGCAAAAAAAGCATTGAGTACTTCAGCTTTTCCCACATCATCTGTCACTAGGCTACCCTTCTCCAGTAAGGGTCCTACATCCTTCCTGATCACCCTCTTATTGCTACCGTGCCTGTAGAAACCTTTCTTGTTACCCGTCACATCCCTTGCTGGCTGCAATTCCAATTGCACTTTGGCCTTCTTGATTACACCCTGGCATGCTCGAGTGATATATTTATCCTCCTTCCTGGTCATCTGTCCAAGTGTCCACTTCTTGTCAGCTTCCTTATTTGTTTATGCTCACTAAGGATTTCACTGCTAAGCCAAGCTGGCCACCTACCATGCTGCTCCTCTTCTCAGGCCTCACATCCCTATTTCTCCCATAACTTCCAATCTTTTTTCTCTCTCATCTTACACCTGGAAAAAAATGGGTTCCTTAGCACGAGTGAGGCCAAAACAGATTGAAAATCATGCTGCAGCTTAGGAAAGAGCCTAGGTAACACAACTGTGTAGCTTAGAGTCCCACCTTGGGAAAAGACCACCCTCCCACTTCTGATAGGTCTCATTGCTATGGCCAGCAAAGGCTGGTAGAACGCTCCATGGCCATGGTGTGTGGTGTTATTAAAGGGTTTAAACCACTCTGTTATAGCATGGTAGATGGATGCCCCAAGGGACTCTTCAGAGAGGCTGTTGAGCCCCACCCAGCTAGGAATCTCAGCTCCAGGAGTGGCCATTTCTCAAGGGGGGTCTCTTGTTTTTTTGGAACTTTGGCCCAGAGTCTCAAAGGCATTTAGGTGCCTAATTCTCATTACTGGACCCCATGCAGATCCAGGATCAAAATAAGCAGCTTTCAGACACACTTTGTGGCTCCTGTTTCTCACCTGTGCTGCACACGTCGGTGGTGCTACTAGATGAAGTCTGGTAGAGGGGGACAGGTTCCGTCTCTCTGAAAGGAGTTTTTGCATTGTGAGATTCTGTGCATGTTTAAGCCACATGGCTCCCCACACTTCATGAACAGGAAAGGATTGCGCCTCAGTGACTCCCTTAGGTGACACTGACGCTGCTGTAGCCCAGCCATAGTGGGTGGGGGCGGGAGGGCGTTCCAGCCCAGTGGGCTAGACTGTATCTTCCCATTTAATCAGTTAACTGCTTAAATTCAATGTTTACCCAGTTAACTAACTAAATGGGATTTTACAGCCCTAGCGGGCACCGCGTAAAATAACTCGCCTGAGCTCCTGTAACGAGGCAGTGGTGGAGACAGGGATATCTGCCTTTCTTGCCTCGGCAATTTCTGGACTTGCACGAGACTGGGCATCCATCACACCAGGCAGCTGCTGCTCTGCTAGCTAAATGAGGGCCAGGGGTTCTTTGAGCACTGTGCTGGGCAGTGCTAGCATCAAGCATTAATAATACTCTGCTGCAGATAAACTAACAGAGCGTTGTTGTGTTGCTCTCTTTCAGTTCTTTGCCTGCATTGTGATGATAGCCTATGGGGCAAGCGCTTTCCTCAGCTTCCAGGAATGGAAAGGATTTGGCAGCAATGCAGCTACCAGTCAAGTGACCAACTAACCACCCCAAACACTGGGTCTCTTGAAGTCAGCTTAAAGCTAATGGATCGGGTGAGAGGGCTCAGTGGATGTGTATTGAGGGAAGGGGCCTCTCACTCAGATCAATGTAGGTCAGTACTGGCTGAAAATGATTACTGGCCAACAGCTGTTTGGTGGCCTACATGGGGGCTGACACATGGTCTGTTAATCAGTCTTACTGTGGAAAAGTACCCCCAGCACAAACCTCACCTCAGTTGGCATCCTTGAATGGTGAAAGTCTAACTTGGGAAACTGAAGTCCCTGGAATTAGTCTCTTCATGTCAAAGTAGCTTAGGGGAAGTGTATCCTTGGCCTGCCTATGAGGAGGCAGTTCTGCTGTGCAGAGGACTTCAGTCACCAGGGCTGGCCAATCCAGCACAGTTCACTGGCAGCAAATTCACTAAAAAGCAAACCAAACGCTCCCCTAGCCACCTGCAACTCTAATGTGGAAATAATGTAAAATTAACCCTTTGGGCGGAGTGGTGGCAGAGCTGTGGGAATGGAAGCTAGATAATGGTATGAGACTGCAACTGTTTTATTGATTTCTAAAATTTGAAGTACAAGTTATGTTTTAAAATAAATCTTTCTAAATCCAGCTGTTTGTCAAGGAAGTTTAGTGGAAACTTGCTTCTCTCCTGAAAAAGCCACTGTGAGGTAAAACTTGTAGCGATATGGAAAGCAAAGTGATTTCACTTGCACAGTAAAGCAGTACTCACTGTGAGGGCCCTGTAGATCCTCTTGTTGACCTCCTGTAGATCACAGGACACCAGGACCATCCTGCATCTGCCCAGAATCTGGTCTCAAATGTACAGCTACCAAATGTATTGGGTTTGTCCAGTTCTTCTTTACTATTTAAATGTAGGGTGAAGCCAAAGGTTTGTCATGCTTTGTACTTTAAGACAGAGAAGTCAGTAGGAATTTTGCTATTGACTTCAATATTTGGGTGAAATCCTGGTCCCATGGAACGAGGGAGAAGAATCAGATCATTAAGGCTGCAGGTGATCTCCAAAAAAAGATAACACTGTGGTTGATCTGGCAATGACAAGATGGGACCACAGCCCCAGCTGGGGAAAACTGAAGTAATTCCATTGACTTAATATCCGCAGGTGACATGGTTACTCAAGTCCAACTTATGATATTTAAGGGAGCTGTGGAGGTGGGAGGGAAGGAAATCCTGAAAACTGCACTGGTAACCAACCTGGTTTTCCTTTGACATAGTTTGCCTGTTCAGGATTTTTTTAAAGCCTATAGTTTGGGCTACTTTCTCACTTACAGGGGAAATAGTTAAACATTTTTCTCCTGCCTGTTTAGACCAAGCCCTGTCATTCTTCTCTATGCAGTTGACTCTAGCTCTAAACTGATTGCAAGTTGCAGGATAATACCAAAAGCCCCCTTTAAAAAAAAAAAAAAAAAAAAAAAAAAAGGATAAAATCTCTTGGAGACAAATAATTCTATGTATTTGTTTGAGGAAAAATATTAAACCCTGAAAAGTAAATCAGACTCAGACATAGATATTGCATTTGTATGTAGAAATTTGATTTTTTTTTTAAAGCTCTACGTGGAGGGGAAAAAATCCAAGAATCAGGTAACATGAATGTTGTAGAGGTGGACAATAATGAAGATACTGGAGCGAAGGAAACATGCAGGGCAGAAACGGGCAAATGCAGTGGGCGGAAATTGTACTCATGGGAATGGGGAGCGTAAAAAAAAAGTATTAGGTCTCAATGGTATCACCCCCTCCCCAAGTCTGTGGGGTACTTCCATTGAAATAGATTCCCAATCCCATTGGCATGTAACAGCTGAATTATAAAAAAAAAAGCTTGGATCCCAAGCATGCTAAACGTCACCATAGGGGGTTAGCTCAACATTTGTTACCACACAAAGACTGTTTAAATCAATAGAGTTTATCTTACACATTTAATATGTATAGACTAATCTGCCCTTGTGCCTACAGCCATAGTTTTCTACATAAATTGGAGTCTTAAACATTAGTTTTTCCAGTGGTGAGACTAAAGAGTATTATGAAATGTACAGACAATACCAGAAAGGTGACAAAGAAAGCCCACACAAGTTGTGTTGCAGTGAATTTAGCTATTTTGGCCTACAGCATGGGTTCCCAAACTGAGGGCATGAAGAAATTCCAGGGGGAGCATGAGGCAACCCAGCCCCACACACACACACACACACACACACACACACACCCACCCACCCCAAGTTTTGCTGCTATTTTGAGGGGGGAGGGCGTGAGGGTTTCTCAAAAATCAAAAAGGGGGCGTGATGCCGAAAAGTTTGGGAACCACTGGCCTACAGGGAACACTTATAGATTTCCACATCCAGACAAACTCTACCCTAACCTGTACCTTACAAGCGCTGAATTTACAAGTAATCAAGATATAAAATACTATACTTGGAAGAGAATTATTTTGAGACAATCATTTCCAACACTGCAAAGGATGTATAACCTGAGAAGTGGTAACAAAAAAGGAATAAATTATTTCGCCCCCATCCCCAGAGTTCAACTACACAAGAGCATTCACATTTGTAACTTTAATCAATTTCAATTCAACACTGAAAAACGAATTGCTAAAAATGGTTCAGTATGTTTTTTTTAAATGATTCTTTTTCTATTCCCAGTACAAAACCAATTTCGATAGAATGCACACAAGTACAAAGGTAACAGACCAAAGAATTCTAGCCCACGCACTGAAATAAAAAGAATAGTCCGATTCAAATCTCTTAGAAGCACTGCATTTAGACACCAGGTATTTTCTTTCGTGACTGTACGAGCTTTCCCAGGAGTTCCTCCAAGAGGTTCTTAAGACAGCTGGGGGAACTGCATTTAGCCGGGATCAAACATTTACCTAACAGTCTGATTGGCTAATCTAGAGAACCTATCATCTTCTCTTCCCAAAGCTCCTGAATGGTAGATTACATCCCTCTTGGAAACAATGATCTTTACATGGCAGAGATGGCAGGCCAAGCCTTGAAACCAAATGGGAAACTCAGATAGCTTCTGAGGATAGAGCATCACCTGGTGTAAACCATCTCTATTATCAATGGAGCCGTGACAATATACACCAGATGATATTCTGCCTCCATGGCTTAAGACTCAGGTCCTGTAACTGGATCTATGTGGGCAGACACCATGCCTCCATTCAGTCCCACTTACTTCAGTTCAAATTGAGCTTTATGACAGGGTCCTGTCTGCAGGATTAGGAATTTACTTTAAAACTATTATACTGTAACTAATATACTTAAGCAATGCCCACGTTACACTAGCACAGGATAAAAAAGTGATTCAGTCGAGCATTTCATTGCAAAGAGAATTAAATTTAGCTTGTCTGATGTTCAATAAAGTAAAAAGCCAATAGAATTACTTTCAATCAAAAAGCATTCAAAAGCAGCATGTGGGAGAATACAGTTCCTCCTCTACTGTGTATTCGCAGGGATTTGTAAGTAAAAGCTATAGGGTTGCAAAAACAACAAAGGATCCCTCTTGTGATTTTAAGATTGCTTCAGGGTGTGGACTCTGAGATTGGTAAATAGCTTATTGGAAGAGTTACAAAATCCTGAAGGGGAATGTTTTAGAAAGTGAATGTGTGGGAGGTTTTTAACAGAAATACTAGGACATCTCCAGCAGCTAAACTGCGGACTTATAAAAACATACTGGAAATTTAAGTTCAATGAAGTTACTTACTACCTTATTTCTAGGGTTAGGACAGGCTAAGACAGTAGGATACTACAGCTGTTACATAATACTGAAAGTCAGTGTCTACTCTATGAAATGAGAGGAGTTAAAAAGCCTTGTGTCCAGACTATATTAAATACAAACATGGCTTATACTTGCTTATGTGGGTGGGAATTTTTTGCAACCATGTTAGAAAACTGTGTTTTAACTTCAGGGTGAAATTCCAGCCCATTTGAAATCAATGGCAAAACTCCCATACATTTTAATACAGCCAGGATTTCACACAGATTAACAAGTTTTCCATTTGCACTGCCAAAACACTAACATGTTATAACAACATGGATCTGCAATACCTTTGGTCTGTCTACACTACGCTCTTGCTGGAAGTCTCCTAGCAGCATGGCTCCACTCGTGCCAGTGGTGGGATTTTTGCTTACTGCTCACAGAAGATAGACAACATAGGGCTAAAAACACCAGGCTCTGAGCTCTGACTACATTGGCACGTCCCTGGTTACTACTGGCCAGTGTAGCAGCATCCACAGTGGTGCAAGAGTGGGTGGTTTTGTAAAGAAGTCTACTGTAGAGAATTAATGAGTGCATCTCTACTAGCAAATTTCTCATCAGTTTTTCAGTATCAGTGCAGCTGCAAATAACGGTGAAAGCTTCAGTATACACTGGGAAAAAGACTTTAATCAGCACATCAGCTAGGGGGTTTGATGATTTGGTGGTGGTAATTCTTGAGCTTAATCTACACTACATCTTATATGCTGGCAGCACCCATGCAGCATCGCAGTGGAAAAAACAAGGTAAGAACAGTCTTTGTGTAAGCAAAGCTTATGTTTTACAGACATGGTGGTTTTTTACTTTAGTTGGTGCCTACAAGCAAAGCTGATGATCAGAGCTCTGTGAGTTCATGAGTGAAACTGTATCTACCCATGGGTGGACCCTCTCCCGGTCCCCCAACAATTACCACAAAACAGAGACACTCTCAATATGTACAAAATATATTCTACATATGTCACAATATATTCCACAGAAATGCTTCATTTCTCATCACAGTGAAAAGATATTTTCCAAAAAATGAAAGGTATTGCGAGTGTGAGAAGTCAGAGGTGGTGGAGTTGTAACCATCCTATTCAAAAAAGGTTAAATGATCATCCATGTTAGTACAGTCTTTCAAGTTTGGGTTTTTTTTTTTTTTAATTTACATTACTGGAAAGAGAGCTATCTGGGTTGTAGTTTTCACCAATAGGAAACACATATGCAGTCCCATTTGCTGAACTCCTTGGTACAGAATCCATGTTGGTTTGTGCATATATATTATCAGCGTCTTGAAGTCAGTTATTCTGGAAGGGCTGGAGTTATTTTCTTGTATGGTCACTGAATAACAACAGTAATTCACAAGAGCAGCTTAGACGATCAGGCCTAGTGAGATGTAGAGAGGCAATCAGCTTCCATTACCGCTGGAATCCTCCATAGTGTTTGGAATGTCCAAATGAAAGAAGCCGCACTCATCTGCAGCTATGAACTAGTGTCGCAAACTGTTCTGAGAAGATATTGAGGACTTGCTTAAAGATGTCACCACTAACCCACTGCTTAAATCCAGACCTCGACCTTCTTTTTCCTAAAAAGTGGGGTAAAAACAAACCCTCAGCTCAGGAGTTTCAAAACAAGCAGGCTTTCAATCTTAAGCAGGCATGTCATAATTGGTGTTGTTAGTTATTCTGCTTACTAAGCCAAATAAAGCACTGCGCCTTGCAGCACAATTTCACAAGCACACACAGCTGGTGTCTGGGATCTGTACAATCTATAACGAAGCCTCCCTTTTCTCCCTTATTTGTGGATGAATCCAGAAACTAACCATAGAAGCATAAAATCCTAGGGCTGGAAGAGACCTCAGGAGCCATCGAGTCCAGCTCCCTGCCAAAAGCAGGATCAATCCCAACTAAATCCTCTTAGCCAGGGCTTGTGGGACAGCTGCTGTTATTGACTGATGTTCTTCCAGCTGAGAGTAGACTTAAGCACAGCTGAAATCAGCGTGCTCTCTGCTGGTGTGACCCCAGGAAAGAAACCCAGTCAGGAGGCCTCGTGGGAAGGAATGTAAAAAAGGGCAAGAAAAACCCCAGAATCAGGCGGCCTGGAGAGAAAGGGAAACCTCAATATAATCACCACAAAAACCTCAAACAATGAAAGGCGGATTCTGCATTCAAAGATGCAGAAATGGGCATTACTGAGGAATTTCATGAGGTAGCCATACAGGTTTTCTGCAAGAGTTACCAGACCTGCTTTTCCAGCCCATTCATCAGCTATACCACAAAGGTTATTTGCCTTTCCATCCTGCATCTCTTGAATGAATGCTGTCTCTCAACAAGCTAACATTGAAGGCAGTGAACCATACAAGAGCAAGAACCATAATGCAAGAACCATACAAGAGCAGTTACATCTGTGCTAGTTAAAACAAAACAATTCAAAATACTTACAGCTCTGTAATCCAAGAACATTTCTTTGAATGCCAGAAAATCAGTAAATGTCAGAAGCATATCAAATATATCACCTGCCATCTCATCTTTGTGCTGTCTGTAAAGCAAGAGATTTATAGGTTTAACATAATTGAGAGACATAGCGTCAGATTTTAAAGGCACTTAGAGGTCAAATTTACTACATAATGTAGGTTGTAAAAAAATCAAGATTTAAACAAGACCAACAGGAAGGTATTTAAAATTCTAATGAAAAACAACTTTATTAAACAAATAAACAATCCTTTGTAGTGTTTGTAATATAGTTCTATCTATCCCTGTGATATCTAAATCTACAGATGAGTAATGCGTCAATTGACATAAATCAGAAAGTGAAAGATTGGTAACTTAAGAGCAGTAAAACTTGACATCTACATTTTCATTCCCCAAAACATGAGAAATACAAAAATCAAACCCTAGTGAAAAATCTTACAGGTTTAGTCCTTTTGCTTTTAATTACAGGCAGTCCCCGACTTACACGGATCCGACTTATGTCGGATCCACAGTTACGAACACGGCTTTTCTCGCCCCGGAGGACACGGACTGCGGGACCTCGTGGTCCCGCTGCCCGTGTACTCCAGGGCGAGAAAAGCTGCTCCGTGTCTCCCTGGTCTGCAGACCAGGAAGACGCGGAGCAAAGCCGTGGAGGGGCTGGGGCTGCAGGGAGACGGGGAGCAAAGCCTTGGAGCACGCCCGCCGCCGGCTTCCCCCGCGGCTTTGCAAAGCCGCGGAGGGGTTGGGGCTGTGGGGCAGCCCAGGCGCGCCTGGGCTGTCCTGCTGCCCGAGCCCCTCCACGGCTTTGCAAAGCCTTGGTGGAAGAGGGGAGCGGGGGAGGCAGACGCCCCGCAGCTGTCCCGCTGCTGGCGGCCTCCGGGGCTT